ACTTTTCTCCCGAGAGGAAAGAAGCTCTTTTACCGCCATTTTTATGATCAAAAAGGAATTTTTATGTTTAATTAAAACCGCTTCGTGCCGAACTGCATTTCACATGTACAATCGTACACTTAGAGCCCTTGCGATTAGGGCAAATCCAATTTGCATTCAGATACGCGTACGAGAGAATCGATCAAGGATGGGCTTTGCAAGATGAATCGACGTTCCCGAGCGAAACCGCACGACTACATGAAAACTTTTGAATGAAAACTCGTACGGAAAATACTTAGAGAGGGAAAGCAAGTGACCTCAAGCAATCTACCGAAAAATTCTGACGGCTAATTAAAGACGATCCAATTGGGCTCCACTTGAACAATCGTATATTTCGCGAGTGCTATAATTAAGACAAATCCAATTTATATTCACGTTCGCTTGCTCCGAGCATGTACACCGAGCAGGCACGCCTGCAAGAACGGAAAGTAATTTCCCTATTAATTGCCGGATTCAAATTAGTTTTCATAAAGGAGCTAATTATAGACATCGTTAAGCTGATTTAGTGCGGATAAAATTCTTCCCGGTTTGTTCCGACTTGGCGCCCCGATATGAAAATTCTTCTTTAGAAATGCCAACAGCGCCGTTCCTACCGTTTCAGCGTCCAACGGGTCCGACCGACCGGACGACTAATTACCAAGCGCGAAAGAGAGAGAGAGAGAGAGAGAGACTGAGAGAAGGGAAGAGAATCTGGCGCGTGCCCTCAAACTCGCGCGCGAACACTCCAGCGTGTTCCTGCTTCTTCGCGCGACTTCTTCGCTCGTTTTCATTTCTATTTGCGGACGCGAACGTAGAAGAAGAAACGCGCGCGTCAGTTTCGCCGCGCGCGACTTGTTTTTCCGCCAAACGACAGCCTTCTCGCCTCTCGGGCACGCCGCAAACACGTTTAACAGCCATCGGCTTCAAAGTGCCACAAATGGATATGCCACGATGCGGAAAGCGACGAGATCGGGAATGTTTTATCGCGAAACGGTCGCACGATTGCGATAAATTCGCGCCTTCGTCTCTCTTTCTCTCTTCACCCCTCTCTCTCTCTCTCTTTCTCTCCGCGAAATGGCTGCAACATCTGCGCGCGTTCCCGCATAGAAAATTGCTCGACGTCTAATTGGGATCCAGTCCGATTGCCCAAAATAATGATGCGTTCCGGTTAGGAGTGTAATGCTCCAAAACATGCGATCCTTAGTCTTCCCGATATATGTTCTTTATTTTGCGTTAAAATCAAAACACGTTGAACCTCCAGGCAAATTCGTTGTTCAGTATAATGCACAAAGTTTTGCACGGAGAGAATATTGTAATAAAAATGACAATGGAATTCCTGTAGTCCGGGAATAGACCATTACGAAAACCGCAATAAAACATAATAAAAAAATAAGCATAAACATGAGATGACTCTTACTACATTTATGGTCATTTTTACCATGCTTTACTACAATTTTCGTAATAATGCCAGTCTATTCACGAACCACCAAAGTTGCATTGCAATCTCTACCACAACGTTCTCTCCGTAGAGAAATATTTTATTTTTCGATATATTTTGTTCTCGGCATTTTGAAGCCGATATTTTGTTCTCTGTCGAATGCAATAGCTGGTGCAAAAATGGAATTCCCTATTTGATATCATAAAAATATATATCGACATTATCGACTGAGAAAAAACGCGAGTTCCCACAGTACTTCTTTTCCAATTCTAACCAGAGAATCTATATTTGGGGCAAGAATTGGATTCCCAATTGCGGTACCGTAATGGTATAACCAATTTTGCGATACATTTGGACATTCTAATCAGAATCTACGCTGCATCAGCGAAAATCTTGGGAAATTTCAATGCGGCGGCGGCAATGGCGATGACGAAGACGTCTTCCGCGTGTCCCTTCCTTGCGGTTAAATAAATATTTATCCCTCCTTGTATCGTAAATATAAAATTAATTCACGGATTCACGGGGCCGTAGGGGAAGAGACGACCGCCGCCACCGCCGCCGCAGCCGCGACGGAGTCTTGAATTCGCTCGCGGAAATGATCTCGTTGAATATGCATCGGCGCTACACCCCCGACCGCGTATATATCTTGCGACGTTATCATTCGTTTCGTAACTTACGAGAAACCCAGTGGCGGCGCGGTAAATGAAAACGTTAGGTGTTAATGGAAGGAAGGAGATACGAGTTATAGAATGAATAGAAATACACGCGTTTTTACGCTTGCAAAGCAAACTAAAATAACAGTGTGCACACACATACGCACGCACACATGCATGCACGCGCTAGAGTTATTTTTTTTTTCGTTCGCGATAGCACGGCCGTTATCAAGTACTTACTGCTCGACCGGAGAGAGAGGTTACATCGGTTGGTTACACCACTCCAATTTCGAGGTCGTGCAAATAATCTACCGACGTGTAAATCCCCGATATTTATGCCAGAAATGTAGATTGACTTCCACGGGCGCGTGTTCCGGCCCCTTTCTCTCAGGCTCTTATGAAATTACCGTGGCTCTGCCCGTCGCGGGAATATGTTGCGCTTTGAATAACACGAGCGAAAATCCTCTCTCGTCGGAAATTCGGCTCCCTTGCCTCTCTCTTGCCTCTTTCAGCCGCCGACAACTACGGCTTTTAGTCTCGTCTCGACCTGTCATGTCGAGATGTCGTTGATCGTTCATTTCTACCGTAAGAGTAGATCCCGAGTCGCGCGACTTTCGTGACGACTTCTGCGACCCGAAGCTGGTGAAGCGAACGCGTAAACGTGCATTCACACGAAGAGGGTATTAGTCGGAGAAAGAAATCGCCGTATTTAGCCGCAGCACGCGAGCGCAATTTACGCGGACAGTAATTATGCGCGATCGACAAAACAGAAAGAGAGTAAATTCTATTACGCAAGTGGCAGTTGCCGCAACGCGATTTGATACACACGCGGAAATGCTAATTGAATTTCTTGATTAGAATATCCCGGCTGTGATCTGCAATATCTGCGGGAAAGTAGGGCTCGATTAACGCGATTTCGATGTAAGCGATGCACCCCGGCGGGATGCACGCAGCTATTTTGATGATACCGCCGCGTGCAACGTGTATCTCTCACGCTGCTCGCCGTTGAGTTAATACAGTTGGTTAAATCGTTAATTCTATACTTCCAACCTTCACTCAGCATCTACTTTGATAATCTGAAACCTACATCAACCTCTTTTGATGCTATTTAACCTGCTTGAATCGAAATTTTGATTCTGACTTCATTCTCATTATTCCATTCAATATCTATTTTGACGCTGAAGAAAGTGAAAAGGGAAATTTCGAACATCATCAGAGTCAAAGTAGGAGTAAATGGTATCATTAGAATTAAACCTATTTTGCTAACTTAGCTCGTACTGCGTTGTAAAATTCAAGGTTTAACACAGAGTCAAAATTTCGACTCGGGATGTCAGCCCAAACCGACGGTGCTGGTGTATCGTCGCGAAACAATGAGTTCTCCGCGGCGGCTGTGTCGAACGGGTATTATTGAAGTTAACCGCGTGATCGCAACTACACGCGGACACATAAATTATGTGAGTTGCGTGACCGTTTCAAACAAACGTCACCGATAATACGATGAAATTCACAAAACTCGACTGACTGTGCGTCGCGGAGGAGGGGGAGGGGGGGAATTCCTGTGGCAGAAAACGACTGTTTTCGCGTATTTCAAATTCGCGGGAACTTAAGTTGGCAACTCGTTTGCCCGCCGCGCTCATTACGATAGTATCTTTTACTTTAAACGGGTCAAAGTATATTTTAGCGCGTGCCGCGTCATTTGTGACGTGCCTACTAAAAGATATCAGCGCGTGCAATTAAATCGACACTTAAATAAACGCGCATGTCTTCTTCCTTCACTCTCTTTTCCTCAACTGTAAATAATGTGTCGGTTGCGTATGCAAATTTTGTATTAAAAAAAATCGAAAAATATCAAAGTAGAGGATTCAGTTCGATCAGCTAAATGTAAGTATAGTCGAAATTTTAATCCTACTTTCAACTTTATTACTCCATTCAACATTCCAACAGATTTCATTCAATATTCAATATTTCTTCAGAGTCTTTCAAAGCAGCAATAAATTTTATCATTAGAATTAAACCTACGTTGCTAATTTAGCTCCTACTACATTGTTCAGAATTCAAGGTTTAACACAGAGCTAAAATTTCGATTTGGGATTCATCCTTATTTCATGTTCCGCCTGTAACTGAACAAGGTCTCTTTTTTTAGGAAAAAATGAAAGAGAGAGAGAGAGAGAGAGAAAGTAACTAAATGCACGATAAAATTCTGAAAGAAGATTTTAAAATGCGATATCGAGCTCGATTTGATACGCCTTTGCGGGGCAGCGTAGCGCGACGGATGCGTGCAAAGGTGCGCGATTTCGTAACTCTTTTGCAAACCATTGCCAAGGCCTTTAACCGGCGGCTTTCCAGTACCCCGTAAACAAGCCGTTTTCGCAATCCTCGATAACATCGTGATAACATGCGACGTCAAATTGCATGCATCCGGCGATGGTTAATTAACATAACTGCACGAGACTAGACAGCGCGCTGCTTTGCGCTATCGCGACAATTATCATGGACTTTTCTCGCGTTGCTTTCATCAAGCTTTATTTATCAGAGCGGACAGGGGATTCCTTCCAGCTCGTCGCACTCACGCGCGTCGTGCAAATTTGACGTGCGTGCACGAACGGTGAGAGACGCGATTTAATGCGCGGTGATGAGACTGTGCGTTATATTTATCGTTCCGATAACGGATCTGATCGCGGGCAAGTTAATTGCGATCGCGCGCGAGCCGGCGTGCGGATGCTTTTCCGTCGCGTCGCGGCGAATGCAATTAACAGACAGCTGGCTCGCCGGAATCTGTTTCTTCTATCCGCCGTCGGCGCGTCGCGGATGCATTTTTTCTCAGAGCAACCGGTTTTCCCGCGCACTGAATAACGATAGGACTTTAATGACTTTTGTCGCTTCGGAATTAGGGGGATCAGCCGGTGCCGTGGTGGCGTCCAGACTGAGCGACATACCCGAATGGAAAGTTCTGTTGCTAGAAGCCGGGCCAGACGAGCCACCGGGTGCCGAGATTCCCAGTATGGTGGCAATGTTTCTGGGTAAGTTTCAATTGGACCTCTCTCGCATACACACAGCCGCGCCCCCACACAGTTCCGCCGTCGTCCACGCCACCGCTCGAGCTTCGCCGCGATAACGATCATTTGGAATTTCGCGCGTAATCGCTTCAGTTCCGCGCCAACTTTCAAGATGCACAATCGGCCCTCCACCTCGGTCGATACGTATCGCGAACGCATGCCGGAGACGAAAGGCGGCGAAAAGCGCACCGGACCGGAGGGAGCGTAGCTTTCATCCCTGAGAGATATTTCCAGACGATTCCCTCCGTATTGAATATCAAGCGTACCTTCGCGGCGGCGATTTCTTGACTTTCAATATTGTCCGAGACTCGAAATAAAATCCCGCTCCAAGCGGCTCGTTTGCGCGCGAGGTCCGGAGCTTAATTCCCGGCGCTTGTATAATTCAAAAGTTACCGGCTCGCGCCGGTCTTTTCCCCGGGGAGGAATTAATTGCGAATTAATCAAGGAGTCGGTGGACCAAAGATGAAAGACGGCTCGCGGCGACTCTGAGAGATATCCCGCGCGCTAACCGGGGTAACGAATCGACGTTTCCCGTTTCTTTGCCGCTCGTCTTCCTCGCTTTTCGACACGACGTCTCGACGGTCGTAACACCGATCGCTCGGCGCGAGAGGACGCGACGCACAACGCTCTCCCGTCTGAAATCTATATTATTGCGCGAGCTGTTGCGTTCACTTCGGCCTTCACGCATGTTGAGCGATCTGACAATTTTACCGATAGGAACTGACATTGACTGGCAGTATCAAACCACCAACGAGATGAACGCTTGTCTACTGTCCGGCGGATCCTGCAGCTGGCCGCGCGGCAAAAACCTAGGCGGTACGTCGGTCCACAACGGCATGATGTATATGCGAGGTCACGCCAAAGATTTCGACAATTGGGAAGCTATGGGCAACAGCGGATGGAGCTGGCACGACGTGAGATCCCGCGGAATCGTCTTCGCCAATTACTTCGCGATCTGTTTGACTCTCGGCACACCTAAGACTCATTGAACCCGACTTTGATCACGAAACTCCCGACTTCTTTCTCTCATTAATAGCGATGCTAATTACGACAGAACGAGTTTTATCTTATAGTAAAAAAGTATTTTTCCGCGTTCTTCTTGAAGACGATCTCTAAGAGAAAACAAAGGTCACGATACATGTCATGACTATTAAACTTTAATTGTTCGTAAGGACTAATATGCGTCGTGAATTTATTCTTTCTCGGAAGTCTGTCAAAGAACACGGGAGAAATTCATTTTTAACCTTCTACAATATAACCTTCGTTCTATCTCGCGATTATTATGCAGTAGGAAAGACGGGGGGCTTACTTGTTGGTTATATCGGGGTGAATTGACCAAACCAATTATTTCTGCTCTTTTCTAACAAGTTACAGAATTAAGCAAGCAAAATTTTCAAACATGTGGAAGATGGCTTCGCTTACTTAATTCTGAAATCTGTCAAAGAACAGTATAAATAATCGATTTTGCCTCTACTATGCTGAAAATGAAACACAAACGGCGTGAAAAGTGAAATCTTCACGGATGATCAAAAGATTCGGAAAAGACTTACAGTGGACATTTCACGTTCCCGAATTTGATAAGAAATTATTTTGCATCCCGATCTCGAGGATAAAGTAAAGAGATAACGACCTCTCCGTCTCGTATCGTGCAGGTCCTGCCCTACTTCAAATGCTCGGAGAACAACACGGAGACGAGTCGGGTCGGTAGCAAATATCACTCGACCGGCGGCCTATTAAACGTCGAACGGTTCTCCTGGAAGCCGGCGTTCGCCGACGACATACTCGCAGCGGCGGTCGAGAGAGGATACCCGATTAGCGAGGACCTCAACGGCGACCAATTTACCGGATTCACCGTGGCCCAGACTACGAGCAAGGACGGTGTTCGAATGAGTAGCGCCGCGGCGTTCCTCCGGCCGCGCCGCCACCGGAGCAATCTGCAAATCACCTTGAACGCCACCGCCACGAAGATCATCATCGAGAATCAAAAGGCCGTCGGAGTGCAGTATTATCAAGTCAGTATACGAGCGTCACGCGTTCTCTCCGACTCCGGCGAGACGGCACGTGGTCTGCTCTTTTCAGCTGCACTGCTGCACTGGTGCAATAAGTTAAGGGGATGCTGGAGTCGATGACGAACTCGAACAATGTCGATAATGCCGAGACGATCGCCATTAACATAATCACGTTATCCTTTTCGTATATACAGAACATACATGAATGTGTGTTGCTTTGTTTTACTATATTCATTAGGAACCTAATCATATATGTGTAGAAAATTTTCTGCAAACTTTTTCGATATTCTTAAGCTTCCAAATGCGAAGGTAGAGTAATGTTCTTCAAAATTTGTCTGGAGCATCCACACTTTCGATACTGAGAGAAAAATTATCTTAAAATCAACAAATATTTCTTTGATGAGTGCCATTAATATATTTACTTAAATCTAAATTCTCTTTATTTAAACCAAATATTGCTTACTTAAATCAGGTAAACAATATTTGATTTAAATAAAGAGAATTTAGATTTAAGTAAATATGTTAATAGCACCCATCAAAGAAATATTTGTTGATTTTAAGATAATTTTTTCCTCAGTGTATGTACAAGCTGAGGAACTTTTGGATTAAACAAATATTGCGCTGACAGCTTGAGATTTTACATTTAAAATTTTGTCTTCGTTTTCGTCACATATCGAGCAATGCTCCTATTTATTTTTGCACGTACTTTCATTACGTAAAAGCATTTGTAATTCTGTGTAACCAAAACGACGTAAGCTTTTCAGAAATGTCAGTGTTTTGTCGGCAAAGTTTTCAGTTTCAGCATCCCCTTAAGGTGAGATAAAATATATTTGTCTTACTCCAACTTATTGCACCGGTGCAGCAGTACAGTTGAAAAGAACGAACTTTCGGAGAGCATTCTACTCCGCGATCACTATTTTTATTGTTCGCGATACATGGAAATTCCGTTCCATTGTCGTAAAGCGAATGATAATGCCGGCAACGCATACCATTCAAAGATATTACAAGCTTATGAGTCAGTTCCCTAGTAAATTTCCCTGCATAATTACATGAATATAATACGGACTCATAATCGCTCACATAGCGAAAATTCTATGTTTTCCTATCGCGAAAATGCAAGCTCGAGGGAGAATTTACACTTTTTGACAGAGAACAGGAAGACAGAATCAGAACCAATCAGAAAAGCAGAAATTGTCGATTACCATATGATCAATAACGCGAGGCTTTTGCCTATCTGTTTTTCCGTTAAAGTAAAAATTCTCTCTAAGATGTTTGCAAGATAAATAGCACTTTAGGGGGAGAACTTTTGTTCTTTCTTTTTTACTGCCAACAGGTTACTTAAGAACCTCGTTTAGTAATGCATAGAATTGTTTAGTAATGCATACGAAATACACGGTTTCTTATGAATACCTAAAAATCTCGGCATAGCTAAGAAAGGAGTAGAAATCTCTCGCGCCATCTTTTATAGGAGTCGAGGCGTCATCTTTCACCACCTGACAATGAATCTTCCGCGAATTGCTGATTTCCCAACAAGGCCTCTTTTCGGATATATATCAAGTGTATACGAGGGACGAATGTCCGCAAAGTCCACGGATACCCGTTAGAAATTCCGCTTGTCACGATATCACGAGCAGAAGGTTTTTATCAAGTCGAAAGTTCCAGAGAAACTCACTGCCGGTTCTATTTTAATACGTTGAACGTCACGCTTGAAAAAGCTGCATCACGCACGAGCGAAAACTCTAACGAGAATCTTACGTTATTTTACCGTGTTATCTATACAATTAAGATACGACACACTAACCGCCGTGCGCGCAGAAATTGCGCGACATGGAGTTGTTTTCTCGCGGAGGGGGATACCTTAATTAAAACGTTATCTTTAAAAGTCAAATCCCGCGTGAATTCACTACGAAAATTATTCTTGTCCCGATCCTCGTGTGTTTGCAAGCTTTGCGTTCGCGAATCAGTTCTACGATCAGTTCTTCGCCCGTAATTCAGCCGGTGCATGTTCGCCGATTTTTTAAATCCTACACTGAGAGAAAAATGTTTAATATTTGTAACTACAATTACACAAAGTAACGATCACTATTAAATTATGATCAAGAGAAAGCTATATTTTTATTAAATTCTATTTTAGTTAATGTTAGCAATAATAACTCTACATGTATGTTACTACTATTATTTTCACGTAAGAACAGACAAAAAATAATTGGAGCTAGAAATAATTATAATTTTAGTTAGATTAACTATTTTTTCGCTCTCAGTGTGTGCGAGCTGCTAAAATCAAAGTATCGTGGTCGACTGAATTCGCGGTGGCGTTTCCCCGTCGACAGTATCGACCGTCATGAGTCTCGCGAGGAATTCGGCCCGCTGAAAATCGCACGAGACACAATACGCGACGTAATATTACCCGGCTCCCGCGGAACTTTGCTTTTTGCTCGGGCGGTTAGCGGCACTTAGACGCGAAATCAAGTTCGCGCTCTGGTTCGCGCGTGGCGGCGAGTTTGGTGATGTGAGTTTCAATGAACGCATCTTCAGGATGGTGAACTTCGAGTTGCCCGCGCCGCAAAGGAGGTAATCGCCTCCGGTGGTGCCGTAAATTCGCCTCAACTGTTGCTACTCTCCGGAATCGGGCCGAAGGAACATCTGCGCGCGGTGAACGTCACAGTAGTCAACGACCTCCCGGGTAAGCAATCCATTCATTGTGCGCGAGTCAGTCATTACGAATACGTCGATATATCGCGTCTCGACGGCACGATAACCTCTGCGAACGGTGCTTAACGCGATTCCACGGTGTGTGACATGTCAAAGTTCGTCATCCGACGTCTAATTCTATATCTATCTATCATTCTCTCTCTATTTCTCTGACTCTCTTTCTCTTTCTCGGTAATGACGTTAACTGTACATACAAGGACAATGAAAAATTGATAAAATTAACAGGTTAACAAAAGTTAACCAAACTCGAGTCGAAATATTTCTCCCACATTAATCCTGCAAATTCCTATTAAATTTGAAGGATCAATATGAAGAATCTTGAAATATAATACTATATTATTGTCTTACCTTGATGCTAATATGGTTGTTTATTGCCATATTTTATGCTGAAGCAATTTGAACAAGAAAATGAAAGATGAGGAAATGAGTGAATAAAACAATGCATTTTTAATCTTTTTTTTTCTTTTAGTGTTGGAAATCTCAATAAGATTTGAAACTCTGATAAAAGCTGGTAAGGGAGAAACTGTAAAGGCAAAGATATAACAGTTACGTCCCTAATAATGCTATATATGTGTCGTTAGAAAGAGAGAGATTTAAATTTAAATTCTGTACAATAACAAGTCTAAACAGATGAGAGAAGAAACCGTTGGCAAATGCAAACAGTCGCGGCTAATGGAGCATTATTAGACGTAAAAATCAACAATTGCAAGGTTTACATTTTGAAGCCGGCATTCGTAGTTGTAAATTATTTAGGATCTTTGATTAAGAACATAATTACAGACTCGTATTCATAGGCCGTTAGTCGATTGTTTAGATCAATTTTCTTATGTGAAATAACGTAATAGATGCAGATACAGATTGACGAATAATCAGAGCCTCGTGAAGTTGTAATTACTTGTCAAATAATGACGGATTATGAAAGCCAGCCTGAATTTCGACTCGAGTACCTCTTTATCCTCGATAAGTTCGCCAAATGTTCCGTCAAAAACGGAAATCTCTTGCATAATAAACGACTTGGCACACCTTGCAATATATGATGCATCGCTGCCTGCATCCGCCGTCCTCCATCCTGAGTTCCTGATCCAGCATCTTGGCTGCTCCGTCGTGGCACTTGCACCGACACTGGCACTGACACTCGCATAGATTCGACTCGATTGAAGACACACACGTGTTAAAGCGATGCCGACGAGAGTCTCATTAATTCTCTATTTCAAAAGTGCCGACGAAATATTTTTATCACCCGAGTGGAATAATACCGATACACGTAGTCCATGGTATGCCCCGCTCGACGGCACGAAAGGTACTGGCAACATTCAGAAAAACATGCGGCGCAGATATGTTTGACCGTCTTGAAGGTCTGCGATGTCTTAAGAGTATGATTGTTGTTATCACTCGGCCGTTCAGTGGTGAGGAAACGACGTTTAACGAGTAGCGAGTGAGTTAACGCGGGATGACTCTTTTTTGCATATTGTTTTGATACTTTCGCGCGCCGCATAGTTTTTCATGAGTCATGCTCCCTTACATTTTGCGCAAGATCGTCGGCTCTTGAAATTTAAACGAATTCTCGACGTGGCATCGCGTTAATTAACATGTGTTTTCCAAATTAAAACGAATCTGTACGATTATGATGATAGTCAGTGTCAAGAGCTAGCATCTAGAGTGCCATGACGATACAGGCAGGAATAGGATCCTGCATCGGGAAGTCAAGAGACGTTGGGACGTGGATAACGATCAATAATATATTTTCAAAAGTATAGATATGTATTTAAAATTTCCAACGCCAATAAAGACAACAAAATAATGAAAAAATTACGAGAAATGATTCATTAGTCTACATTAAATTACTTAACATTCGCTTATCTCGTATATACATATTCAACCTGCAGTTCAATAAAACACGCAATTAGTACATTGCTTATTGAAACTAATTAATAAAGATGAAATGGACGATTTTTGACATGAAAGAAATGGTATTAAATAATCACTCGTAGCGTCAGAATAGAACAATAGCTTGCACAGAGTCTTGCAAGTTGCAGGATTAATGTGAAACTAAAATTCCGACTCAGCAAGTTAACAAGAGCTAACAGTTTGATTGCCGTGTTAATCAGCATCGATTATACAATAGCTCAATAAGCGACTGAATGGCCAATGGCAGAAAATAAGTCGATGTAATTATATATCTTCCACTTTGTTTCGTCGGCTTTCTTGCCGTCGCCGCACGACTGGCTTTTCAAATGCGATTAATTACACTTCACACGTAGCTTAATAAGACGCGGTCAAGTGTCACACAGCACCGGCCACCGGTTGGCCACCGTCGCGTCGTTTAACGTGTTAATTGAAACCTTTTTTTGCGCGAGAGAATGGATCGATTTCCTATCGTTCAGAAAGAGAAACACACCCTCTCCTCGGAGCTTCCCGGAATTTCCTCTCGTTTTTAACGGTCGGCCGATATTAATTCCCGCACTTACGCGTTAATGATCCGCGCCGCGGAGGAGGCGCACGCCAACGCGGGCCGACGAGAGCTTTGATGGCAAGCGTAAAGTTTAACGATTTCGCGCGGCGTAAGACGCTAATCGGCGAAACGTTTCCCGGCCAGGTCGGGATTACGACGTGGAGGGAAGATCGATAATCGAACGTCTACCTACTTCGTTCCAGGTGTCGGGCAGAACCTGCATAATCACGTGTCGTACACTTTATCGTGGACCATCAATCAGCCGAACGTGTACGACCTGAACTGGGCGGCTGCCACAGAATATATTGCCTTTCAGAAAGGACCGATGTCGTCGACGGGTATGGCGCAATTGACCGGAATGCTGCCGTCGATTTACACGACTCCGGATCATCCCGATATTCAGCTGTTCTTCGGCGGCTATCAGGCGGCCTGCGGCACCACCGGCGAGGTGGGAGCCACCATGAACGGGGACGGTCGCAGCATCAGCATGTCCCCGACGAATACACATCCGCGCAGCAAGGGTAAGCGGCGTAATTAGCCCGAACTATTCGCGCTTCCCTCCCTTTCTCCCTACCTGGCCGGAAAAATGCTAATTAGATGGTTAATTGCGATGAATTTATTATCGATTACGCTGACGCTCAAAATTCCATATGTAATTTAATGCTGGAATGATAGGTCCTCCCCCTTCCTTCACTGTCGAGTTATTACGAGGAAATTTCTACAAATTGATTAATTAACGTCACCGAGTCGACTTCGACGGTCTCGATCCCTACCAACTTCGATAGAACTTGATACGATTGCGTTAATCTCCACGTTGATTAATACGCCCTCTTCTCCCCCTCCCTTCTTCCCTCTTTCGACTTCTTCTCCGACCGCAAACTCGGCCGCAGGTAATCTCCGTCTGGCTAGCAACAACCCCCTGGAGAAGCCGATCATATGGGCCAATTATTTGAGCGATCCCCTGGACGTGGCGATCCTCGTGGAGGGTATTGAGGTCGCGATGTCTCTCGCCAATACCAGTGCCATGGCCAAGTACAACATGACTCTGAGCAACAGGCCGCTGCCCGCGTGTTCCCGATTTCCGTTCCTGAGCAGGGATTACTGGGCCTGCGCGGTGCACCAGGACACCGGCCCGGAAAATCACCAGGCGGGCTCCTGCAAGATGGGACCGCCGAACGACCCCATGGCCGTGGTCGACAATAAATTGAGAGTGTACGGGGTGAGAAACCTCCGCGTGGCCGACGCGTCCATCATGCCGCAGGTGAGTATCGTCCTCGCGGCGATCCGGTGCCGCCGGCGGTGCCGAGACGTCGATGCGTCGATTCCGTGCGAATTCTCGATTGCGAATCGTGTTTTCCGAACGAACAAACGGCCGTACAGGTCTCACTGGGCAATTATTGGAAGGATTGCGAAAGAGAGAGAGAGAAATAGAAAGAGAGAGAGATAAATAGAAAGAAAGAGGCAGAGAGGCAGAGAGAGAAATGGAAACAGGAAGATTTAGATTTGTTGTTTTCTCATCCCCGAGGATTCCATTCTGAAATATTAACGCGCTGTTGTTGCCTGCGTATGTGTTCGTCGTTGCGCGTTTAATCACCGATTCGAATTTCCTGCTGCATCACGATGAATTGACGAGATCTCGCGCGATGATGCTGATTTACCCAATTTGATCAACAGTTCGTTCTCGAGTCTACACTTGTTATTCCCTCCTCTATAATTGTTGCTCGGTGTACGTGCACTTGTGCACGGGAAAAATATTGTAAAAATTATTAAAAAATTTTGTAATCTCTTGGACCATACAGAATTATTTGAAATTACTATATATTTTGTATGTTTGCACTTTTCTTACAAAATTATTGTGACTTGAACGTGTTTCATGTTCTATACCTGGTAAATTGATTGTTTCAATCAAATTTTGATATAATTTAGCTTGACTGTATGAAGAGATGTAATTTCAACGTAATTTCCGCTACAATATTCCCCTGTGTATCGAAAGTTCGATATTTCGCGCGAAGCCAAGTCCGTAAAATCTTGCTCAAACTGTTTGCCCGATTCCTCGTCATCCGCGAAATAAGTGAGAGAAAGGAGCTGCAAAAGATGAACGTGAACGCATACAATTATTCTTTTCAAGGTAACGTCAAGCAACACGGCGGGACCGGCCATGATGATCGGCGAGAAGGCGGCCGCGTACATCAAGTCTGACTGGGGCGTCGAACCGACACAATGGTACGGGAAAGCACCTAGCCCCTTATGGAAAAACCACCATCATTGGAACCATCATTAGTCACCAGCAATTTACCATGTTTCCTAGTTCCCGGCCGACGATCGACAGCTCACTGGACCTGCTGCTTTGGGGGATCAAGTACATCGATTGGAACCAGGCTATATGGTAGCCGTGGCGTCCGAGATCGATCTAGTCTCGTACAATCCGTCGCGTTTTCTCGATCCGCGAGGTGTCTAAGAAAGTCGGCGTGAACGCGACCGAAGGCGAAGGACCCTCCGGAAGAGACACACAGGGTGCAATTTCCTTTCTCCACGGCGCCGCCATCTCGCTCGATCGCGTCGGACCTGGCTAATTGCACGCTGCAACGTGCAATCGTTTTCATTGACACAGTCAGTGAAAGAGGGAGAAAGTCGCGCGATCGAACTGGTATCATAGTCGTCGTACCGCCATGCTTCACTTTTCAGTTAGTTAATAATTTTCTGAGATTCCCGTGTGAATTTCTGAACGCGTCGCGCGAAGCTTTCGAGAAGACCCGAGAAAGTCGCGATCGTTTGGTCACATAAACGCGAATCTCGCGTACAATTTACGAGTATTACTTTACTATATACTTTACTATATACTATCGTTGATTCTCAGTGAGCTTACGATTATAAACTCGAACGTGTGTTTCGATTCACAGTCATTCGACTGCGTGGTACGCGCCGCGTATTACTTATGAAGAGCCTGCCAGCTACGTGTACACACGTCGCGCCAACGACTCCCGTCGTCGTTTCTCTAGTAGCTTCCTTAGTAGCTTAATAACAAATATGTAGGGAAGACCGGGTGTAGATGACCCTAGAGGTATGTGCTTCTTCTTAGTATTTATCTTAAGAGAAACAATCTATACAAAATCGCGAAGTGGTCATTTTAAAAATAGTCATTTATATATTTTTTCCTGCGTTTCATTAAAATCGGAGTAATATTACAGTTAAAAAGTGGAAGAAATTGATTTAGTAGTAGCAAATTTTCGAGCCTCTTGAAATTTTGTATTAATATTTCCCATCGTGAGTGAATAGAATCAAGCGACATGTTACTAGCTGAATAAAGTTTCTTGCAAGTGTATAATATACTGTTTCATGTTTGTATGCTCACAATATACTCATATTTGTATTTCGATTATTAAAAAATTAAATTTACGGTTAACAGGATTGTGGCGAACACATCAATGCATAAAAGAAGTCTCTATTATGTTTGCACAGTCAGTCACAACAATTAACTGTCTAAGTTGTTACTTCGAAATTCTGAAATATGGGACATCTCGCTCCGGTCTCCCGATACTATTCGCGTGGGAACGTCCTGTCAAATGCGATAACCAAAGACAAATTCCCGGTATCTTAACGATCGATCGTACATATCGAACACGCAGCAATCGATCAATCGTTCCGACGGAGGAATATACAGAAGCCGCCAGAAGTTCCAGAACGGCTAATTATCTCAGAAAACATTGATTTATTTAAAAGAATATATTAAACCAAAGTAGTAGGATTTAAAAAAAGAAATTTATTAGATGTTGATGTTTATCTGAAATAACCTTGAAATAACCTTGAAAAGCGTTGTCAACATAATATCCGTTGTTATTGTATAGAGAACGAAGGATCATAAATATGGATAAACTCACGGCCGTTTGCTTGCTCGCGCAGTCCGCGAATGTAAATCAAAATATTGTAAATAAATGGTAAATTGCATAATGGCAGAGAGGCCAAATTTAGAATGTAGTTTATATACCCGTTCTCCGACAATCCGCTCCTCCAAGTCATGTTATGAAATACGCGCTGCAGATAAGCGCACGAGTTGAGACATTGTCGTTGCTGGGTGAGTGTAAAAGAAGTCGCACGAACGTGACGACGAAGAGCATAAAGTGGAAGTAACGATTTCCACATATTCGTGCGAGCTCCTCGCGTATTCGCGAATCCGAATACGACGGTTGAATCGATCATAATTTTTGTAGGGTATCCGCGACTTAAATAATCATGTAGATTTTTAGTTATTAACGTAGTAATTGAGAGAACATTGGCGCATCATTGCACGCGATCATCCGCCAATCTTCTTTAATTAATGACTCAAAATTCTATTTGGAAAATGATAAGGATTTTGTGTTCAGTTTAACTTAATCTACACGTACACACGAGATATGTGGGACATTTTGTCATGCACCCTGTGTATTATCAGAGAAATCTGACCAACGTCACGATACAACGAGTTATCCGTATTACCTCATAATTGCGAAATAATTAAAACCGCGCGAAGGAAGTAAAGTTTCGACTCGCAAAACGGATATTGCATCCATTTCGCTTAATTAATTCGTAATTCGATAAAAGCGACGATTATATCAACAAGCGAGCATCGATAACACTTTACATCCGCTGTGCAAATTTTCCCTTCGAAATAGAACGCAGAATAGAGTTGACTAAAAAAATACAAAAAACAATTAACAAATCAAAGAGCGCAGTTCATGATAGGCACGTTTTGCTTGCGCTACTTTACTGACACGCTATTCATCAATTCTACGCGATGATAACGCGCCCCAATGATTTACAAGTGTGACAAATAACGAGTTGTAACTAGCATCGCGGATTATCGGCTAGTTGTCACTTGAGTACTTAATCATGGCTAGACATTTTGAGGAAGGTACATATGCATGTTATTAAGAAGCGAGTATATAACAAAGCGACGGCGAAGAGAGCGTGACAATCAGGAAAACGTGGGACGGCGGAGACGAACAGTTTTCCTCCGAGGAGGTTTTCCAGAAGCGAGTCAGACGCGTCTGCAGGAAAAATGGTACGTCGACACACCCACAAAGGACGCGCACATTGTATCTCGCATGGATCGCGAAGAAGCGCGAGGATTGCACGGTCAATGTGAGAAAATCGGTTTGCCGTTGTTTCTTTTTCTCTTCTTCACGTAGTGTCGACGGTCTCGCGGTGATGATATCGCGATTATTTTCGCCTCTTCCGTTCGCAACAAACGCGACACTCGATCTGTTGGCGCGTTACCTAAAGCTTCTTCGATCAGTTCTAAGTATTTCTAAGGATTGATATATTTCACGGCGCATTCGCACTGAGGAGAAAAATGATTGTCATTTGTGTAATTATAATCACATAAAGGAATATCTATCTATCTTTATTTTCAACTTCAGCTTTATTATAGTGCCAAGAAGTTCCTTTGTCTTTTATATATTTTTCCTATATACGCCTATTTCTCTTAATTTTTCCTTTTTATCATCTTAACCTATTTATTTATCTTAACCTATTTCTTTTTCCTTTTGCCTTATATACTTTCCTTATCCTAGGTGTATCTTAACCTATACTGGCAAATTCCATCTTTTTGGATTTCTTTATCCTTATCATATACCCCTCGGAGGTTTTGTCAAGCCTACCGAGGGGCATAGAGGAATAATTACTATAAATTATGGTCAAGAAAACAGTTTTTTTATAAGATTCTACTATAACGTTAGTTATACTACCTAATATGTATATTACTGCTCCCATTTTTGCGTGTTGGAACAACCAAAAAAATATAATTGGACCAAAAATAACTAATTTTAATTAGGTCAATCATTTTCTTCTCTCAGTGCATTCTGCCGTAGAGTTTCTGTAAGAGTCAAAGGGAAGGTTTATTTTCTCTTTCAATTCGTCAGCGCTATTGTTGGAGCGTTCGCGTTACGAGATACGCGAACAATAATCGCGCTTTGTTATTATGCAATATAGATGCGTTTGAGAACAGGTAAAAAGTATGGAAAGCGCGCAATGACTTCGTATCAGTGATGTCATTTGTAAATCCGGGCAGTACGCTCTAGCGTGTGGAGGGGATATGCACACAATTAAGCGACCGTGTACGTGTGCACGCCGCGCGCACTATATAGCATATTGCTTCGTATGCATACACAGACGAGGCAGTAGAGTGCAAGATTTTGATAGCAACGTGCCAGAATCAGAAGACGGGAGATGAATGCAAGTTTTTCTGTTAGACGTGAGCGAAATATGAGCCGTTAGCAGATCATTCGGATCGTGCTAAGTTTTGCTGCACCGTCCACAGACTCGTGGACGCAACAGTAACGTAGCACCCCTGTGCGCGCTTATGCGGGACAATTACACATGGAGTACGCAGCTCCGTTCGAGAATTCACGGTAATATATCCATAGCTGTGTACGAAATGTTGGTCGTTGTGTTGTTGCAGGACGTATTCAATCCCATACCGGTCCCGTGTCAGGATCCATTCTTAGGTGGACTTTCAATAGCCGATGCCTGTCCCGCGAGTCCCATTACTTATCTACTCGCTACGTTGAACATGATGGCTGCTTATAGCCCAGCTATCAACGACCCGTGCAACCATATTAAACTTACTTTGAGACCGAGCGGCACTTATGATTTCATCGTCGTCGGAGGTAAGACGGAGGCGAATGTGAGAATCCGAGGATAAACAATTACAACAACGTAGTATGTCCGCTTCATCTTACCTACCCAATTAATAAGTCGTATTAATCGTCAGCATTCTATCAGAGTCTATTGGATTGATTTTACTTGGAGTTTCCTCTTCGGCTAGTTCAAACTATTTGTAAGAATCGACAATTCATGACATTCTTTTATTCTTTCTTAGGGATTCTTCAAAAAGCAGGGGAAAAATTAATAATTTTGTTAGTCATCTTTCTCACTTATGTTTAATAATTTTCTTTTGATGAAATAAATTGATTCTTTAATTAATACCACGATGCACCGAGGATTAAACTCGAGGGTAGAAGTTTCGTCACGTTACGGATGCAAAATGTCGAATTCGAGAATTGCAACCGTAATTCGGCAATCGGCGAATGTCGACTCTAGGGAACGATTCGAAGACCAAGTGCTATCGTTAAGAAAGGACAGGAATATTTCACGATCATCTGTCTTCGATTTAGCTGGAGCAGCCGGACCGATCGTGGCCGCCCGATTGAGCGAAATCACGAAATGGTCAGTGCTCCTCCTGGAAGCTGGACCAGACGAGGCACCCGGCATGCAAATACCGAGCAATCTTGGACTCTATCTCAGTAACGTTCTCGTTCCTCGCGCGACGCGATTAATAATACTTCTTCCCGATGAATAATTTCACATTCGCTGCAGACACGAATATGGATTGGAAGTACAAGACCAACAACGAGAAAAACGCTTGCTTAGAAACCGGCGGCAGGTGTAGTTGGCCGAGGGGCAAGAATCTCGGCGGATGCACCTCTCATCACGGTATGGCTTACCATCGTGGCCACCAGAAGGATTACACGAGATGGGTGAAAATGGGAGCCACGGGATGGTCGTGGCAGGAAGTATGATATTTTACGCGAACGACTTACGAAATTATTGTCCGTTCTCCGCGCGGCGTGCTGATGCGGGGATATTTCTAATATCAATTTTTCCGTTCTTCTACGCTACAGGTATTGCCGTACTTCAAAAAGTCAGAAAACAACAAGGACATCGGGCGTTTTGTTAGCAAGGAACATCACGGCTTCGGAGGCCCGCTGATAGTCGAAAGGTGTGTGCGATTATCGCGACACTGCGAAAGTGTCCGACAATCCGAGTGTGTTATTTTTAAACACATAAGCGTGTAATTGGCTGAAACTGTTCTCACACGTCCTTTATGGTTTTAAATCATGTCCTTCAACACGTTTATCATGTGTAAATTAAAATTTTATACATTTAAGCGTGTTAAATGACGTGACTTAAGACAGTAAGGAACATGTAAAAAAAATTTAATCAATTGCACGCTTATGCGTTTAGAAATAACGCTCTCGAATCGCTTTTATAGTGATATTATCTACGTTACCATTTTCGCAGTGCTCTTCTTACGAAAAGATTCGAAAAGATTCAGACTCATTCGGGGTTAACTTGCACAAATAGTCAGTCGAAATTGCCAGCACAAATTGTCATCGTCGAAAAGTGTCGTTGTTTACTCGCGTGTCAGCTGAGAAACTAATACGACCACATACGCTTAATAGAATCTATACGTCCAGAGCGAGCAGAGCGCCTTTAATATAATCCCCGTGGCCTCCTCGTCGTTTCAATAGGTCTAAATGTGCGCGTTCAACTCCCGCTGATTACTTTCATTAATAGATTCCCCTGGCAGCCGCCATTCGCCATGGACGTTCTCGTCGCGGCGGACGAGGTGAAACTTGGCACCACCAACGACATGGTGGGCGAGAAGATCACGGGCTTCACCATAGCTCAAACCATCAGCAACAAGGGCGTCAGGCTCAGCTCGTCCAGAGCCTACCTGTGGCCGGCCCGGAACCGTAAAAATCTACACGTAACTGTGAACGCGACCGTGACGAGAATCATTACGAAGGCTGACGGGAAGAACAGGAAGGCCAGCGGAGTCGAGTTCATTATAGTGAGTAAATTGACTTTCCGCGTCCTTTGAAGTTCTGTTGCACCCACGATTCGACGGTTGCGTCTCTCCATTTGTCTATGTATTTGGTCTATCTACCAATGTTGGGCATTAATCGCAATGAGAGAATTTTCTTTCACTAAAGTAATCGACAAACCAAATTAGTCATCATATATGTAATCACGAGTAATTTGATCAATTGATGAAATTAATTATTAATCAATGAAATCAAAGTTTGATTAATAATTAATTTCATCAATTGATTCAGTTATACATTTTGTACATGACGATCGATTAATTCTGGTTATTAATTGGTCGATTATTTCAGTCAATTAACATTTTAATCTACTAATACTCAACACTGTGCTATAATATTTACTCACTCCGAGTAGAAATTTATCCAGTTTCTGACTAGTAACTGTCCAGGAATTTTTAGTAATTAGCTAGTTTTTAGTTAGTTTTCTTGACTAGAAACTGACTTTGGTCGACGCTCACTTCGACAAAAACTTTACAGTTGAACTAGACAGTTGAACTAGGTCTTTCAGATTAGGTTTTAATTAAATTTTGATCAGTATCTAACTTGTTTATTAGTAGTTTCTAAGTAGTTTTTTACTAGTTTCTATGTAGTTTTTGATTATTTTATATGCATTTTTTTATTGGTTTCTGATCAGTATCTATTTTTTTTCAGTTTATTAATAGTTATAAATAATTTAATATGTATCGAAACCATAATTTTATTAAAATTAAATTTTTATAATTTTTATTTAAAAAAATTGTGTAATATCATCTTTAATATAATATTTTATTTTATTTTGGCCAGGAAAAAATTCGTCAGTAATTTCCGATTTTTTCTTAGACAGAAAATGCATAGCATTTCCTTACCATTTTTCTTGTATAGTTTCTGAGAAATAACTGGCCCAAAAATACTGAATAGAGTTTTTACTGGGCAGAAGCTATCCAGTATTTATTTACTATTTTTCTTGCATAGTTTCTGACAAAAAATTACCTAAGAAATACTAAATAGTATTTTCAGAGTTTTTAATGGACAGAAACTGTTCAGTATTTACTTACTATTTTTTCAAGTCTAGTTTCTGACCAGTAATTGGCCATGAAAAAATAGCCAGTATTTTCTGCCAAGTTTCAAAACAATAACTGTCTAATTAATCCTAGCAGTAAAAACTGTCTAATTACTGGCCAGTAATTAGTTTTTCCCTGAGATGTTTCTACTTGGGACCTACCTATCTCCATCCATCTATCTATCTGTCTATCTATTTATCTATCTATCTGTCCATCTATCTATCCATCCGCCTATCTATGTATGTACGTATTCGACCACGTAACGAAGACTTTTAATCGACAATTAACGTCCTACTCGCAGAATGGGAAAAGGCACAAAGCAACCGCGAGGAAAGAAGTGATTCTCACGGCCGGCGCCATAAATTCGCCTCAGCTTCTACTACTATCGGGTATCGGGCCGAAGGCGCACTTGAACGAAATGAAGATTCAAACAGTCGTCGAGCTACCGGGTGTCGGCAAGAACCTCCACAATCACGCATCCTACGGCATGGACTTCGTTCTAAATCAGCCGGCAGTGGAAGAACTGAATTCGATTAACATCTATTCGTATATGTACAATCAAACCGGCCCGCTTGCGTCCACAGGTCTGGCTCAACTCACCGCGATTCTCAAGTCTTCCTACACCACCGACGACGATCCGGACATCCAGATCTTCTTCGCCGGTTATCAAGCCATTTGCGATATGGAGGGAAAAATACCGGACTTGCAGACGCGGAGCAACCAGACCATCAGGATGACGTCCGTAAATCTTCAAACACGTAGCAGAGGTAAACGCGAGTGATTGCATAAACTGCGTGTGCTGCGAACGGTGAAGTACCGTGCCGAGCTCTCCGCGCCCCGATAGAGTGAAAAAAAATGACTGAGTGCCCTCGTTAACGATATTCCAGCGCGGTAAACGATCGTTAGCGAAATTGAAATAACAATATTTCACGATATTTGAGGTAGCGCGCGCAGAAGAAAACTCGCTACTTCTTCTCTCTGACGGAGTACTCTTTAAGTACTTCGTAGTCGTCTTCTATCCCGCTTACGATATCACTAAAATTCACGATTACAAGCGCACCGTTGAACGAACGAAAAGAGATATGCGAAGCGCAGAGTGAAATCTTTTTTGCGATGAATTTCGTTCGTAATAAAAGCGCGACATCGCAGAATGTGTATCCTTGATGAATTTCAGGCTGGATCATGTTGGATTCTAAGGACCCCATGAAGCCTCCGAACATCTGGAGTAACGAACTGTCAAAACCACGAGACAGGGACATTATTTACCAAGGTATCAAAAAGATCCTGGATCTATCGAAGGCGTCAACGTTAAACAAGTACGGTTTGAAACTGATCGTAAACACTGCTGAAAAATGCAAGAAATTCGGCAAACCGGTGGCATCGAATAAGGATTATTGGGACTGCCAAATTCGCCAGAAGACGAGACCCGAAAATCACCAGGCTGGTACATGCAAGATGGGCGCGACCAACGACGACTTGGCCGTCGTTGATCCGAAACTGAAGGTTCGCTATATGACAGGATTGAGAGTAGCCGACGCGTCCGTTATGCCGCAGGTAATTCGCCGACGTTTATTCCTAACATTCGATCGGGCCTGAAGGCACAACTCGCGGTTATACGCAAGAGCTCGCCTGTGACGTCGCGTTAAGAAACTTTCCTGACAAATTTCTCACGCAAGCAACACGCTACGCGTCTTCGAGACCGCCCGAGGATGTCAATTAACGTGTGTCGCATTTGCATTTTGTAGGTCGTGTCCGGCAATCCTGTCGCTACGATCCACATGATCGCCGAGAGAGTCGCCGATTTCATCAAGGAGGAGTATGGAGTGCTCGGAATGCTCGAACGTTGAGCGATCGAGCCAGATAAAATGTTATCGCGACGGCGTCCGACCTTTTTACACGCCGGAGAAAATTAGGAGTGCGATCAATTTCTGTTCCCGGCGGAGAGAATTTGTGTAGACGACGACTTCGTGAAGTAATTCAATAAAGACGCGTAGCACGGTCTCGCCAGTGATTTATTCATCGTCCCAAATTTGTCCGCTCTAAATCAGCTTCGTACGACAATCGCTCGTGACGACAAAGATAAGACAGTTTACGGGAATAAAGTTGCGCCATGACGATTAAGGTAATTCGCCGTATGGCCGTCGTGAATTACCCGCTGTAGGTAGTCCACGAAGCGAGACGATTTCAGGTATCTCGTAAAACATCCTGACTGCGCGTACTTTGCATACAGTTGAACCCGTGCCTTTATTCCGCGACGCTGCTTTAGTGTCTAACGACCTAACGCTCAAACGCTCGGAATCTCAAGTTTTCCCGCTGCGGGAAAAAGCTCTCTTCGAAAGCGCGAGACGTTATTCGAATCGGCCGATCGAGGACCGGCCACCTGAATTTGTCCACGCGAACAAAATTCAAGATGGCACCATCTCGCGGCGCCGCGAGAGAATATGCAATACGATCGTGCGGGCTCCACTTACGATATCCTACGTCTTAATTATTAAGATGGAAAGGGAGATGAAACGAAGGAGGAGGTCATGACGGCAGAATGGAAAGGTACCGGCGGCCTCCACGGCAAGTCACAGAAGCTGGAAGCCTGGAGAGCCGCACTCGACCTCCTTAGACTCGCGTGCTTACACGAGAGAGCGATTTCGCGACCCTTCGCTTGACCTCGGTAGCTATTCATCCGTCTGAACTTTTCGAGATCGAATACGCCCCGGCCTCGAGAGTGCATTAAACCCGAACGCCCGACGAACGCTTCGACAGGGCGGGGAAAAAGTTTCGATCCATTAATAATCGCGCCCCGGGCACATACGGACAATCGGCGCGTATTCGAATATCGAAAAATACTGTCTATTAAATCGTGTTAATGCATTTACCTGCGCCCCCACCCCCGTCTCGCTCGCCCGGCTCGCCGGCAGCGTTGTTAAGCGGGATTTGGGCAACTCTCCTTCAACGTAAATTGCAAGCGCGCTTTCATAAATAGCGTTTCCGTTGATTCAAGAGCGCAAAACGTTATGGTCAATGATATATTTCGTGATTTTTTCTGCCTCGTGAGAGAGAAAATGAGAAAGAGACAGAGAGAGAAAGGGATGAAGACAAAGAGATGGAGATTAGCACGTTAAAAATGATCTAACATAGTCTTGGCGGCGATCACGAAGTCCATTGCAAGTTATTTACGATTCCTGCATTCCAACCGGGCTAGATTTATAAAGGTTGGCTTTGAAACAGCGCGCTGACACTCTCTACGAAAGAATGTCAGGCCAGGTCACCCGAGCGCTTCCGGAAGCGTAGCGCCTTGGTGTCAAACGTAAGACACGAGATGCAGCGCGCAACCGATTATGCACCAGTTGGCATCTTATCATCATCCCTTTCTTACGTAAGCCCGTATCCATCCCGGCCATTCGAAACGCGCGCGCGTTCACGTCGAGTGATTAATGCGGCGAGGTCCACTCGAAAACTGAATACAATTACATCGGTCGTTAATTTGCGTCCAATCGGCCAAGTTGCGAGAGCACGAGAGTTGTTTTCATCGGCGCGACCGTGACACGCCGGCGGAAGGATTAACCGAATCGAGGCGTTGCAGCGCGTCCGAGTGGTCCTCTCGAACCGCTTCCCTGATTCCATATCCATTCGGATGCCATGCGAATTTATGTAACGCTCGCGCCGAATGGAGCAGCCGTATGCACCGTACGTCCTATCTGTCGTCAATTGCCGCTGTTTGCGCGCCGCGCATAGTGCGGCGCGCGCGAGAAAAAGATCGAAATGTCATCTCCATTATTCGCGCCGCTGATGAATGCAAACGCGTCTCTCGACAAGCGGCAATTTCCGCCCGTAATTTCACGCTGCCCGCCGGTATTAATTGTAATCAGGAACAAAAGTTAACCCGCGCATAATTACATTCTAGTTTTTCGTCGGTGACTCGTCAAACGTTATGAAACGATGGCGAAAATATGCGACTATTTTGTCACCTGATTTTCCTTTTCATTTCTTTTTTTTTTCCTTTTTTATATGTGTGCGTGTCTGTGTGACACAGATAAACACAGGCTTCCGCGGATTTAGTAAAAGAAAAAATACAAATAAATAAAAAACCGGCGTTATTCCTCGTATAATTCGCAGTCGATTTTTCTCGACGCGAAAGTGTCGAAGCACTAATGGTTTTCAAGCGTTGCAAACCGCTGGAAATAAATGATCTCGAGTTTCTCGGAAGAAATACGGCAACATCACTCCTCGTTGGATATGAAGCGAGGTTTATCGTCGCGAGGATACCACGTGTGAGGAGTAATCATACAAGATTAAATGCTGAGCCCCGCGAAACGCCACGACACGTGACCCTCTTTGACGTTCCCGTCGGGAAGAAATGGAGTTTGAATTTTCGCAGGAGAGAGCACTTGTGCGGGCGCGTGTTCGCCAATCTCTAGTAACACACACAACCGTTAGCTCTCCTCAGCATATTACGTCTCGAGCACTTCTCGGGACCGCCGTGCGTCGCGACTTTCGGTTTTTGTCCTACGAGATGACGGTCTCTCGCGACAAAACTCACCCGCTTGACGCGCTTCACGAAGTTTAAATTCCTCACTCGTGTCGGCCGCCTGCGACGGGAAAAGAGTTTTCGGCGGGGTATACAGCGACGTGTTTGCCTATTCATGTTTTCGACGGATGCTTGAGAGTCACTGACGGTGCGCACTGGCACCGTGTAGACACCGTTACATACACAAGTCGGCAAGTCCGAGAGCAGATGATGAGATAAACAAATTATAAATAAAACATCGAACATCGCGCAGGCAGAGAGAGAGAAAGAGAGAGACAGGCATAGATAGGTAGATGGGTAGGTTGGTAGGTAGATGGGTATGTAGGCACCACCATCCCGTGCACGTACTATATAACATCCGCGCCATCCCGTTCTCTTCGTCCTCTTCGCCGTCGCACTCGTTGTCGTTGTGCCAGGAGCGTAACGACTGCTTTGAATTTCATGAGGGTGCGAATGAATTCATGGTGGGATGGCGCGGTTGGCCCCGGAGTCTCCGGCGACTTCAAACGCCTCCTGTGTGACCTCCCGACGCGAGCGCCGCGCGCTTTACACAAGTCGAAGAAGCGATTCTCATAATGCTAACTGCTGCTTATTTGAGGTCGTATAATATCCCAGCCTGACGATGTATCGCGACGATGGCGTCGCGAGACAGACCCACGAGCGGCTTTGAGCCGCGAATCCACGAGAAAACATTTAGATTTCGGCGCGAGTCCTTCCGCCAGTCACGGCTCTTTGTGCGATAAGAACGGAGAGAGATTTCGTGAAACATTTCGTCAGTTCAGCAAAAATTACAACACTTCTGAAAAGCAGCTTTGCGTCAGTCTCTGCAATATTAAGCAGTTATATTCGGTGGGGAATATTGGAAAACTGTGCGGCGTGTATCACATTAACTCACACTTTGCGCCGCGCCAAAACGAAATCGTTCAGCATCTCTCAGGTGGCCGCGACTACCGCAACGGTTAAGCAACGGGAAATGGAGTCAGATGTATTATCGATAACTGTGCCATATCTTCCGCGCGGATTATCACGGCGAATATCGTGGATCCTCCCGCGGATCTGGCGAAACGAAGTGTGCGAATGAATCGGCGCGTAACGCACTCAAGAGTGCGACCATAGAGAGACGGGCGGATTGAGCGTTTGTGAATTATGCGATCCATTAAATTACGAAATATCGAACTGATAAAGCGGCCGCGACTGTTTCTGAAAATTATGCTCCAATTCCTCGGGCGAATCCGATTACGCCGGGTGAGCCTTTCTCGCGCCTGCTGTAATGAAATCTCCGTCGCCTCGTTAGGTAGTAACGGCCGCTTTGACGCCGGAATTTATAATTCCTCGCGTCGTTAATGCGACATTAAGCGCCAAGTTATAAAATTATAACAGCGAGGCCCGGGCCGGCTAGGTGTGTGACTATCGACAAACAAATAACTGCATTAACCTCCGGCGCGCGCTGAAAACTTCGTCCTAATTAGAGCGCGGCGACGCGCGAATATTACCGTCTAATAAAGCGGCCCGTGGAACATTACCGCCAGAAACGGAAGTTGCGAGACTGAAGATTATCGACGCGCGCCGAGTTTAGCTACTTTCGCGTTCGCGTGCGCGAGTTCGCGGCAGCCAACATCGCGCGCTTTGTTTACCGAATTCGCTTCTCGATCGAGCACGCCCAGCAACTGCCTCTGCTCCGCTCGGCTTCTCGTAACCATCTGGAAACGGAAGTGATGCAACCGACATAATAATTTCCGATAACGCGCCGCTCGCGTTCGCGTCCCGGTGTATAGAGCAGTGCACTAATGGTGTCCCTTTCGAGTGTAGAAAGGTGTAGACATGAGCGCCACCTTCTGTAAGCTCCAAACGCGTATCTCTACGAGTCCACAGACCGAGCGTGTCTTCACTTTTCGTGATCAGTGCCAGTCACAACGTGATTAATTATGGTGGTCGTTGGTCAATCGCGTAAAAATGGCTCTTGTATCATTTGCACGATAATTGGCCGTAGTTGTGCAAGAATGATCTAATCCACATAGAGTACATTTGAGAAAAATGAAGATGAAGATACATGATTCAGGAAAGTCTACACTGTTAAATATTGAAGGGTCAAATTTAAACCAATTTCTTGAGTTAAATAATATTTAGTTATTTTTAACTATTATGTGTGTAAAAATTTACTATTTTAACACAAAACATGTGTTTAAAAAAACAACCACATCTAATCAACCCATTTAAAACAATATTAAGTCATTTTTTAATAAAACAAAGGTTACATTAACGTGCACATAATAAAAAATAAACTAAATTTTAGTCAAATTTAATACATTTCTTAAGTTAAATTATTTAACTCCATTACATTAGTTAAATTAACGACATATTTAGTAGGAGCAATGGCGACTTATAGGAATGGTTAAAAATAACTCAAATTGAGTATAATTTGACACTACGGATTTAATAGTGTAGAGGTAGCGTAAAAAAGATCCTATCAATGCACCGCAG